AAGCAAACAGACGTGCTCAGGAACTCTCTAAAATTAGACTTAACCACAACACACGGTGGGCTGGTTGTGCTTTAAATCCAGTCTGCTGTTTCTCTTCATCTATAAATTCTGCAGACTAAGTGTGGTGACTCATGTATTGTGAGCAGCTCCTTATACAGCACCTGCCCATGTCTTTTTGGCATTTTTGTAACTGTAATAAGTTACATTTGTAGGAAAAGAGTGCATTTTTGTGAGAACATGCCTTTATTTTTAAATTATTTAGATACCCCTATTGCCCTGCGAATTGGTGAACAATTAAGCAAAATGAGAACAGTCTTCTTTGGTGGGTTGAGTGATGAGGGGATAGGCACGCTAGATCTTGGTTATTAGAGTTTGGTATGATTTAGTATAGTGCTAACATTTTCTGGGTATAAATATTCTTAAGGTTATGCTTGTTCTAGATGGCATACAGGAATTTAGGGTGGTTGTGAGTGTTCCTCCTTTCACTAGAAGTAGCACATTTCTAAACTATCTGACTTAAACTGGGTGTCTGCTTCCAAATGAAGTTTAGGGTAGCGTTACGGTCAGTGTTTTGGGAAGAAGGAGGGGTGATCTGATTTATTGGCTTGTTTTGAGAATGGTAGATTTATGGAAAAAGAGAGTGAAACATTGCGTAAGCCTTCATCTTCGCGTGAAACATCTGAAAACTACATCCAAGTTGAAGAAGGTCCAAAACCTTAATTTCTCCTAAAACGCCTTACAGTACACAAAGATAGAAAATACTAGGCTGTAAACTGTAAAAAAAACTCAGTGCAAGATGAGTGCTATCCTGTCGCGTTTGCCTGGAAAAATTGTTAAGGCAGTGGTGTCACAAACGGGTGTGATGCTTTTTTTTTTTTTTTTTTAATCATCCAGTGTTTAAAATAAAAATTAGGAAAAGTATTTCTGGAGTTTTGTGTGTGGATTTTATTTTTTGGTGAGAAGGTTTTAATACCATGTGTGTCACTTCAGCTAGGAGAGGTCTGAATGTTGCTTTTTTTTTTTTTTCCTGAAAATATTCTTAGGAAACTCTTCAGTATTGCTTCTGCTTAATTTTTTCTTTGATACTAAAGTTTAGGAAAAGAAATAGTTCTAAAAATACGTCCTTAGGAAAAGTGATAAAATGAAAGCTCTAGGAAGATGAAAAAGGAGCTCGGTTGTTATGTGGAGCGTATTTCTAGCTCGCTCCACAGATAGGCTAGGAGAGAAACTGGATATACCTCTTGTATTTTATATGCAAAGTACACTTTTATACAGGACTCTCCATACTTCTTTGTTTCTAAGTATTAATACATTTGAAATCTTATAATCTATTTAAACTGAATAATCACTTAGACAAAATTATTCTTTTGAAAAAATTTGTCTTTGACTTCCTGACATCTTCTTTTCCTTTCTCGTCCTTGATTTCCTAAATTCTCCAGTGAATCTGATCTTTCTGTCCCAGCAAATTTCTTTATCCTGCAATGCAGCAAACCCATGATCTTGTAAATAGCTTTGACTGTTGGTAACTTTACTTGCAGTTGCAGTTGAAGAAACGGTTGGGATGAGTTTGCTACTATTTGCAAACTCCTGTTCAGACAGTAGGGAAAAAGTTAATGAAGAGGAGCTGGCAGAGCAAGGGTCCGAAGGGTATCGCGGTTCAAAGCAAAGGTCATTTGACTACGGAAATGAAGTGTGATTTCCTACTGTAACTTAAGTCCTAATGTTTTGTTAAAAATGTCATCGTGTATGTGGCATCGCTACTCTTAATATGAAATGTTTACTCCAGATACGAAACTATCCCAAGTGCAGTGAAGACCCTGCTACAATTCTCTATCATCAAATGGGAATTGCTGTTACTCGGTGGGATAGACGTTGAGATTCCTCCATGATATCAAATGCTGAAGTAGTTTATAGACATTCTGTCCGTGGCCACGTTGATAACTGGGTAGACTCAGGCAAATCCGCTTTTTAAAAATCTGTGCCTGAAACAGTTACCATGATCAAAAAGTCTCTTTTGGATTCAAAATAAGCAGGGGTGGGGAAAGAAATTTAACACCAATTGATTCCTTGATTTTTTTTTTTTGCTCATTTATGTAAAATCACATGATATTTAGAAGTGTGGTCTTAGTGGTGACAGAGGTTATAGAGGTGTTATTCTGTCTTTTTTTTTTTTTTTTTTTTTTTTCTTCGTAAGTTAAATAAATGCATGCTCACACAATTTTTTACCAATTTTTTTTCTTCTACCAGTCTGGTTTTAATTCTTCCCCTTGGACTGTGTAGGTAGCAGATGGCTTTTTTTTGGTTTTGAGATGGAATGTCAGTCACTTCAGTGTAGATGAGCAAAATAAGAGGTTCAGGTCGAGTTCTGTGTATGCGCTCAGACTGAGCCTTGACATAGAACTGCATTGTCAGATCACGACAGGACACTTCCCCTAAAATTGTCCCCCTCTTCACTGCTGACCTGTGGTTGGCTTGGATAGCTAATTCATGCAGACCCTGTTGGTTACTGACTTTTGTACTAATTCCCAGGTGTAGTTAGTCATTAACATATGCAAAACTTAAATTTATATATTACGTCTTCTAGGTGAAGTGAATACTGAACCATCAGTGCTTTCATATTTGGGAGGAAAATAATTTCTCCAGCTGCCGGCCAGTTGCCTTCCTCCCATTTTGTGTTTTGTTTTGCACGGGCATCAAGGCTTTACATCGGAGAGTGATCGTATCATTAATGACTTGCGTATTTCACAGAACAAAGTTGAAGTAAATGCTAGCAAGCCTTTAGTGCAAGTGGAACATTGATTCAAATTTGGGGCGTGCCTCCGAGAAAACACAACATCTCGTGGGTGAGCCCTGCATTG